GAATGTATTACCTAGTATGTTCATACCTGTAACACCAAACAGGGTAATAAGTTGGCTTCCATTATCATTTGCTTCAATGGAATTAGTGAAAAATGATCATTGCTAAATACAATATAACGTTAAGTATATGTAACCACTACTAATTATTTCTTATTTTATTTTTATTTTTTTATTTTTATTTATTTTTTATTTATTTTCATTTTATTTTTTATTCTGTTTTATTTTATTTCATTTAATTTTATTCTATTTTATCCGTTCTATGCATTATCAAACTTCTCCTCTACTGCTAGAGCTACTAAAACTTCATACCGAATATATTAAACATTTTAATTCGCCCCCTCTAGCGGTTTGGGCCAAATTGCAGCTTTCCAAAAAAATCCAAGATGGCGGCGGCAGATCGGCGCGGCTCGGCGATTGCCGATTTCATTGTATTTTCCTTGGTCTTTTACGCGATTCAAGCAAAGAAAACAAGTTGACCACAAGAACAAAAGAGTAATACAGCACTGGGAATCTAATGGTCCGTTTGTTGGGCGGTAATTTCTCATTTCAAGTGAATATTTACGTGCGTCACAGTGATTTATTCACCAATCAAAAGCGACATCTTGCGACTTAACTTAAGCAAATATGGAAGGTTAATGTACATAATTTATGTCATTGATTTATTGGTCCAATTACCGCAGCTATTAGCGAAATTCTAGAACCTTAAATGCATACTATGATATAAAACAATGGTTTTGTGGTAAACAGCATTTCCTCTTTTTTAGCAACTTCGTTGTATAAGAATAACGACACTATCATCCGGTAGCTCGACCCCACAAAGTAAAGTATACACGCAGAGTAATTGGTTTCATTGGGTTTTTTTTCACGGTCGAAATCAAGATTTCAATCAAGATCCATCCAACGTACATATTTTGGAGCACAATACCTCGGCCGCTCAGGCGGCCGAGATAAAAAAACTTTCTGGCACAGTAACTCAGCTCATCGAGTCTTTTATTGGTACTGGAACATGGAATGATGTCGTCAGAATATCAGTTATATTTACTTACACAACAATGTATTCCCGTGACCACCATAAACTGAACCAAAGTTTTGCTACATTAAGATGGTAAAAGAATCAGTCCTTTGTCCCAAGCACAGATGGCTCCAGTGGAAAGAACATCCATTTTCGCTGTTGTTGATCTCTGCAGTAAGTTCCTTGCTTCTTCCGTCACTGCAGTAGTGCCTCTGTAAGAATTATTTGCCTGAAACGACAAAGAACATCATAATGTCCATGTGATGCTATAAGAACTACAACTGTGTAAACAAATTTTGGATTCTTCTGAACTTACAAAATCCCTCCCACCTTCTTGCCACCCCACTGCATTTGAGTAACCCCCAAAAAAGTACCAAGAACAGTGTTACACACAAGCAAACACAAACATGCCCAAATTGGCCAAAACAATACCTCTGTAACTTGAGGTAACAAAAAGAGGACCACAGAATAAAAATGTGCTTTTTGATAAGAAAACAAACCTTTAAAAGTGCTACCTATGATGCACATTGTGATCCTGACTGTGGTTATGATCCCACAGCTGGCTGTGGAGGTGCCATGGGGTCAAAGTCACTCAGGTTCCGGGCAGCCCACACCCCGGCCACGAACAGACTCAGGTTCACGATCAGCGACCTGCAGCGGCAGAACGAAAGGACATGATTTGTTAATGACTTAGTATCTTTGTCATTGTATTACATGTGTACACATGATGTTTCATTCATTTAATTTATTCATGGATATCTTCATACACAATTCCTATGCTGCTCTTTGCAGATAATCATATTCATACAGAATCCTCCTTGGCTTAGTGCTTAGTAACTGGAAGATAGAAATGGATTCAAATACTTATTATCATATTAATATAAATCATTTTATGCTAAAATTGCTAAAGCATATCTCGGAAAGCATTATGCCCCCCTCCCACCGTCGTGTTAAATCATTATTCTGCATTCTTTGTTATTTCTAACGATCAGAAACCGAAGTATTTAGTTTATAGATGAGTCAACATTGGTGAGCTATGCCTGTTTATGGATTTAGCTTTTTTCAAACGGTCTCAACTTCAAGATACTGATGATTAGAAAAAAATCGCCCCCCTCCCCTTAGCACTGTGACCCTGACCAAAAACCGGCATGGTAGCACCACGAGGGACACAAAAATTACGTCTTTTACGGTAGTTTTGGACGTTTTGTCGGTTTCAACACTAAGTTTAAGTTCTGATGTTTTGTTAATCTAGCAAGAGAAGTGAAGAATGTTTACCTTTTAAAAGGATTTTTGTATAAATCTTTGATGGCATCGATGACATTTCTAACGGCAGCCATGATGGAGGTGGTGAGTAATGTGAAGAAGCGCCTCCTTGCGGAAATTATAAAAACTACAAATTGATCGGAATTTTCATGACGTACGTGCTGGAATAGACCACTATTCAGGGGAGATTTGTCAGGGATTCCAATTTTAGTCTTTTTACCTATTTTAACTAAATAGATAGAAACAAATGTTAGCAGCTAATTTACATCCATATCATAATAAATATGTAAACTTATTTTAGCTTGTAAAATAAAGAATGGTCGCTTCTATATATTGAATATTTATTACGTACCCCTATAATTAAGTGGACTCGTTTGATGAAGGGTGTGTGGGTGTGTCACAAATGAGACATGTGATTGGTCACGAGGTGTGCGCCCCCCGCGGGGCACAGATAAACAAGTCGACGTGTTAGGTCGGAACGTGTGTTTTCCTCTCCGTAGCAAAGGGCAGAGTTTTTGTTTGCTAACGATTTGTCCCACTTTTTGAGGGCTCTCGTCCACAGATCGGTGGTTGCTGTTAGGAAAACCGCTGCTTTAGCATTTAATTGATTGATCGGCTGCGGTGAAGTTCAAATTCACGGCTCACATTTCGATTTATTTTCGTCTCAAAAAAAGGGGGCCACGCCAGGGCTCCAGACTTGAATCCGGTTCAACTTCAAGGGCAGGACTTTCGACCTCACTTTGTGTTCGAATCGCCGGTTTATAGCTTCTAACGACGATGAAGATCACCGTGAAGATCCTCAACGAGACCTTCACGGTCCCCTGCAAGGACGGTTCGCAGACGATCGAATGGCTGGCCGAGGAGACCATGCGTCGCTACAGGAAGGCGCGGTCGGCAGAAGTGGCGGGAAAAACGCCCCGCTTCCAAGTCAGGCGGGCGCGGGGGGACGGCCTGCTCGACGCCGATGACTCGATCGTGGACGTCTTGGACGACAACGATTTCGTACACGTCGGTACGTAATAAATAATAATTAGTTTTGTTCCAAAAAAAAATTATGTTACTATAGTATAGTAGATCCTAAGACTCATTGGGAAGTTGCTGGTTTATTTATGGTCGCCGATTCTTCCTTCTTTGACTTGAGTCCGTTTCCTGCCTCTTAGCATGGAGGTAAAAAAGCCTCCATGCTCTTAGGAAGAAAGAAACAATCATTATATTTCAAATCCCACGTAGCTTATCAAATTATCCTTCTAACAGAGATCTTGACAAAGCCTCATTGTTAATGCTATTTAGTATTTCAAAATAGTTTCAAAACATACACCTGTATTATGATAATTTTGTCCCCGCCCCCCAGATCGAGAGACTCAATGTAATTTTCTTCATACTATGGACACATGGAGCACTCAATCTATCCGCTTTTCTACACTTTTTGTTGCAAAAACGGGGACCACGTGAAACTACATCTGGTAGGCAAGGTCAACTGGCCCTCAACATGTCTGGTGTTAATTTGATATCCTAAAGTACACCCTTTTAGCATCTGGCCTGCGCCACTGTTTGCAAACTTTTGCAGTTTGTTTTGTTTCCAAATATTCAAACGCCGACAGTACACTGGAATGTCTGTATTTATCGTCCCTTTTTTTGTCCATTTGTGAATTATTTTTTAATGTTTATTGAAGTTGACAGAAAAGTCGGGCTTTTGGAGGCCACACACAGCCCCAGAGTCCATACCAGTTTGAACTGGTTGTTGTTGTGGAAGGATAACATTTTGGAAGAAACTATTCAGGGCTATGGAATAGGCAAGAGGTGTTCCGTGCCGCATATAATATTTTAAAGTTTTAAAGATTGGCAAGTGTTTTTGTTATTTTTATGTTACTAAATAGACATGCATTACATTCTGTCTAAAACTGTAACAAAGTTAAGCCAGAAATTTATATACACCTCCTATACTTACATTTTGTTGCTCTTTACCAATTTTGTTCTCCCCCAGTTTTTGTGCATGTGGTTTATCCCCAATACACAGATGAAAGAACCTGTCTGTTTGCCTTTGATTTGTAGGTTTCTTAATTTGATACGTACTAAGTAATCACCTACAGGGCTTAGGATTTCATTTTTTTCTTTCTTGGGCAATTTGTCAACTTTTTCATCCAGCAAACATTATCATCCCAAGATTCCTTATTTGTTATTTTACACTCTACCCACCTACTTTTATGGACAGGTAACAAGATAAGAAAAACCACAAAGAAAAGAAAGGATGGCCTTGGGTCACACATTCCAACAACATCAGTGGTATATTTATGCCTGGTAGAATAACAAAACATGGTCACTAACCTACTTTTTCTTTAGGGTTATCAGGTCAATGACTTGTATGGTCAAAAGATTGTCTGCACCTCATTTACATATCAAGTCATAGTGTTCTACAGGTCAACCAAAAGTAGTGGATGCTACTTGAAACATCTGACAGTGTTCAAGATCTATCCAACGAGCTGCTTGAGAATAAAACTGTTTCCTTGCTTGTGTATCTCCTTACCTGGACGTACCTTGTTATTATTGTCTTTCTACTGGTGTCAATTCTTGTGTTAGACACAGTCAGACAGAAAAACACACATTAACACGGGTGAAAAGATTGTTTTGTTGCCTTGAACAAGTTGAAGTAAAGGAATTCACCCTGGGGCTTTTTCAACACTACTTGTTTTTTTGCAAGGATTTTTAAACCAGTCTATGCTTTGAAGGCCAGCTGTACATTATTCAAGCTTGCACTTCTCTAATTTGACGCACCTCTGACACGCCCCCTTTTTCTGACCAATGGCAATGCATGTCCTTGAAACTGACATGTTTCCACATGTACTGTTAAAACATCCTGCTTGATTCCTAGCCTGGTTACCAAACCTAATTTAGTCTCTTTGCAATTACAGAGAGGACAAAAGAGACTCAGCAGCTAAAGGTTTGGTAACCAGGCTGCTTGACCCCACCTCTGACACACCTCCCTGTCTAAACCAATGGCAAGGCAGGATTGCTAATTTAAACTGGCCTTGTACTTTTGGACTCTGCCATGTGAGCCCTTTGGCAATATGAACTTTGAGGACAGGGTGGTCAACTAGAGTTCACAATACCAGACATTCCAACGTACATATGAAGAAGCAAAAAGGGAAAGGTTTCAAAGTACAAATGTACATGTACATATGCGGAATAAAAAAAAATATTAATTAAAGCAAACTACAGTAGCATAGACATTGGCACATATCTATGTTTAGGTGTGGTACCGTACTGCACTATTCCACAGGAATAATGTAGGTGGAGAAACAAACACTTTAGAAGGAAAAGGAGTTAAATGTTTATACAAGAAGGCTTTTGAGAATTTTTATTGGTGTTTTTACATAGACACTGTTTGTTTCTGATAATATTTCATTTATACATGTAGCAATAGCCAATATTCCTTTCATTTTTGGGGCCTGATCAGTTATTACTATATTCACGTGATTTTTCTTGATGAAAGTTTTAATTTGTGAAAATGTATTTGTCCCCTCAGTGTTTAGTTCGGGGAGCCCTGGTGGCTCTGCACTGGTGCCAGCTGGTCCCATACAGTCTGGCCTGCACTATCAAGAACCAAAGGAAGTAAGAAGATTTCCTGTCTATACTGTGTATATACTGTTTGATTACTGTATATCTACTGTTTCATTCCTAAAGTCTTTGGTATGTCTCAAATGGGGATCAAACTGACAACCTACAGAATGCAAGGCAAACACTCTACCCATTGCACCAATCAATATACAGAACTATAAAGGTCGGTGTGGCCAAAGCAGCAAAAATCCTGCAATACAATGCAATACACTTTACCTTTCTTCTCCCTTTAGTATCTGGCCCTGGATGGAAACTCTCTCACCCCTACAGATCTGGTGCAACTGGGAAAAGGACTCTACAAAATCAAAGTAAGAGTTAAAAAATGCGAGTAAGTAACTAAAAAATTTGTATATACATGTACCTGAGTTACCGGTACTTACCTGTATTTCAACTGTTGTTGAATACTGTTTGATTGTTTGAATTAGATGGCTCAGTTACCTTAAAACTTGATCTAAAGATAACTGTTGATTTTAACATTCTACATATTGGTCTTTTGATGAATTCAATGTTCATTTTCTTTTTTTTTTTCCTTCCCCACAGTTGACAGATGACTCCCTCTCCAAGGTTAAGGAGGCCAGAAAGCTGCTGGAAAATATCCTGACTGAAAACAAAGGTGACTTGACATCTGATTTTAAACAAGGAGGTTCCGTTTGCTTTAAAAACATTTCAAGAAGCTTGGTGTAGTCCAGAAATTGGTCACCCCGCCTTTGGACCAAGATGTTGTTATTGTTAGATACTGGAAAGGGTTGCAGTCTTTGGGACGGATGTTAAGCCATGGTCCACTGTTCATTGTACATGTCAAAAACATCTTGGCGCATTTCCCAGATACAATGTTCTTACATGATTTTAAAAATACATTGCTGCCCCTATCTCTACACAGTGTGCTATGGAATCAACACGGGGTTTGGCAAGTTTGCCAGGACGGTCATTCCAGCCAACAAGTTGGTGTAAGTTAATAATTTCTTTTGTTCAAAGTGCATGATTTTATCAATCCATCTATAACTAAGTCTATTGAGACTAATGCATGCTTATAGAGATGTTGTTTATTGGTGTTTATTTTTCATATTTTTTTCTTCAGGGAGCTGCAAGAAAACCTGATCAGGTCTCACTCTGCAGGTAAAAATGGCAAAGTTTTGTTTCATTATGTGAAATATTTTTTCATGGTACTTCTACATTTCACAACATAACATAATCTTACTCAACTTTCCAACATTTTGAACTTTTTAGAATTGGCAAAATCATGATGGTGGAGTGATGATTAAGATTGACAGCATAATGTCTTGTTTTTCCCAGGTGTTGGTCCTCCTCTCACCCCAGAGAGAACTCGCATGCTGTTTGCCCTCAGAATCAACGTACTGGCCAAGGGATACAGGTAAATATAGGAGGAAAACGTCTTAAAGATGTTGATCAAGATTCTTGAAGAGACAATTGGACTTCTTGTAGCCCCTATTGGCCATGTGGCCCATGGCCGCTTTTTGAATAATCATGCTTAATTATCTTAATTACTAGTACTAGTATCTGTATCTGTATAGCCAGTATAACAGCCCTTCAGCATAACACACCAGCTTTAGTTTACTTGATGTTTACCAGTAGTTAACATGTTTGAATTGTTATGTAGTACAAGCTATGTGTAAGTTCCGACCTTGCTTTTTCCAGTGGCGTTTCCTTTGACACTCTGACAAGGATGATCGACGCATTCAACGGTAAGTCAGTCTCTTTATTGCCATTAGAAGAACATAACGTATTGTGAAGATTAGTAATTAATTCATATACGATTCAAGCCAATGACTTGACATAATTGTCCTGCCTTCTGACAAAGTTGATGTTTTTCCCGTACATAGCATCCTGTCTGCCGTGGATCCCGGAGAAGGGTACCGTGGGGGCCAGCGGGGACCTGGCACCGCTGTCACACCTGGCACAGGGCATGCTGGGAGAGGGTCGCATGTGGTCGCCCAAGACTGGCTGGGGAGACGCCAAGGATGTAAGTAGGAAAATATGATTAAGGGATCCCCTGTCCAGAAGTACTAGTAGACAGATTCTAACCTGCGTACCATCCTGGTTAGTTTACGTCCGCTCTGATAGACGCTATCCACCAACGCAACTATCGGGGCAGAAGTAGACTAACCAGGATGGTACCCAGGCTAGACTGTCCAGTGAGAGAGTGACGGCATGTCTGCTCAAATCAAATCGACAATTGGAAGTACTTCAGGCAATGAACCCATTTATTTACAAATAATCCCTCAGCCCCACCCCTCTCCACTGATTTGTGTTAGCATGGTCCAACAATGAAAATATCATGTTTTTATTCACCCTCAGGTTTTGGAAGCACATGGACTGAAGCCTGTCAAACTGGGACCGAAGGAGGTGAGAATCATGTGTAGTAAATAATTTTAAAAGTACATTTTATGTAATCCCAACTGTCATGATAATGTCAACTGTCAAAATTACTTGTGATTTCATAGCACATTTTAGCTTTAATCTCTATCCATTCTTTTAATTTCTTTGCCCTGCAGGGTCTCGCACTGATCAACGGAACACAGCTCATCACATCACTGGGTGCTGAAGGTAAGAAAGCTGCTGTTTTGACACAAAAAACTAAAGGGTAATGTCAATTCTCATAACTCCACCACTACGGCCTCAAGAATGTCTTGAACACCTGCATATCTGATGTGTGTATATCTCCAGCATTCCCGGGGTACTTATATTGGCCACTTTGTTCATTTAGTAGTTTCACTTTATTAGGGAAAGTGCTGTGATATAGTTCGCAAAGTTCCTTTTATCATTTCCAGCTCTGGAGCGTGCTGCAGGAATCGCACGTCAGGCAGACATCGTCGCAGCTCTGACTTTGGACGTGCTTAAAGGGACTACCAGGGCTTTTGACAGTGGTAAGTTTTAATGTCATTTACTGCTGCAATGGTATAAATAGAAAAAAAACTCTAAAAATGCATATTTTTATCCTTTAATACACATGTGAGTATGATCTCTGACACTTCCCTCAGACATCCATGCAGCCCGCCCACACAAGGGTCAGAACGAGGTTGCTCGCAGGTTCCGCTCGCTGCTGCACTCAGAACTCTACCCTTCTGAGATATCAGGTACCTAGTCTCTACAGTTGTTTGTCATGTATTTTCATTTGTTTCATCATACACAATGTTAGCTAAACAAACAAATTTCTGCAAGGCTGTTAGATTGAGTCTTAATGCAGGCTACTGTGTTGAAGTTTTAAAATGACACAGGACAATGGGGTAAAAAAAGGCCAAAGGGCTTGGCCTTATCATTTTATATGTACGTATTTTATATGTACATGTAGCTGGGTTGCCTTTTCTAAAGAAAACAGAATAAATAGCAGATCTTGTTGTCTCAACTTTACATTGTGAATTATTAGTACGTTTACTTCAACCTTTGTTTTTTCTTAATTTGTTGTAGAGCCACCGTTTCTGGACTGGTGAAAAAAGGCACAAGGTCAACATTTGTTCTTTTCTAAAAATCTTTTCAGAGAGCCACCGTTTCTGTGACCGTGTTCAGGACGCGTACACGCTGCGATGCTGCCCGCAGGTTCACGGGATCGTGAATGACACCATCGACTTTGTGAGCGGCATCATCACCACGGAGATGAACAGCGCCACAGACAATCCTGTATCCTTGCAGTGCAGGACTTTTCCACTAGGGGGCAGCAATAACTGGAGGGGATGGGAGGAGGGTTGTATCTAGAACTGTTCCTATGTAGTAACTTCTATACCTGAATGGGTTAGGGTTAGGATCAGGCACAGTTCTGGATAGTCTCTAGCGTATCCAAGAACATCAATTTGCCCCAGAAATAGTTTTGGATATGCATAGACTATGCAGAACCATGCCTAAGCATGGAAAACCGTGGTAAGGAACGGGTTAGAAAAGGGAAGAGAACATCACACTAAAATACAAAAGCTGTACTCCAGACAGTTGTACGATCATCCCTTAACATCATGACCCCAGATGGTTTTCCCCCAGAGACATGAGATAATTTCCGGTGGAAACTTCCACGGCGAGTACCCAGCCAAGGCCCTGGACTACCTGGCCATCGGCGTGCACGAGCTCGCCTCCATGAGCGAACGCCGGATCGAGAGGCTCTGCAACCCAAGTAAGGACATCCCTCTCAATCTGGGCTGAAAAATCATTGTTGTTTATTGAAATGCTGACCAAAATAACACTTTTTTCTGCCAAATGTTGTTTTTGTACCCTTGTCCATGCTGGATTAGTGAAAATAACTGTTTTTCAGTTTAAGTTCGACCTACAACATCACTGGAAGACTGATGGTTCATCACTGGTACACTGGGGACATCCCGTTCCCTAATAAGTATAATTATTATGATATATTGTCATATTGCACTATTGCACCAAACCTAAGTTAAAGACAATGTTGTTTTTCATAATTTTATATCAAATTGAGGTGGCTATATTATAAATTTGATGTTTGTGTTGAATTCAGTGATGTACATGTGTTACTTTCTAAACTGTAATGATTATGTCAGTATAGTCTTCCCCTTCTGTATAGTCTTCCTCTTTATACACATACATTTTTTTACAATATATTTTTGTTGGGCAGAGATTGAAAATTCGAACAAAATGGTCTGCAATGAATCTGTTTCATTTCCAAGATAGTCTGTAGTAACCATTTCTCAC